GTATACAATTAGTGAAAAGGCTGACATTATACTTTTGAAATCTTGCAGATGATTGGACGTATTGAATTTGTTCATAATAAGAATTTTATTCATCGAGATATTAAGCCTGACAATTTTCTTATGGGGACAAATAAACATTGTAACAAGGTATGTACTTGGTTAGATCTACAGAATGTCATAATGAAAGAAATTTCTTGATTTTGATTGATGTCATTTGAATCAATTTATAATTATTATATATTATATTTATAATTATTATTATCATTGCAATAAATATCTATTATTTATTGTTTTTGTAGCTATATTTGATAGACTTTGGTCTAGCCAAGAGATACAGAGATAGTCGTACCAAACAACATATAACATACAGAGAAGACAAAAATCTGACTGGTACAGCAAGATATGCTAGTATTAATGCCCATCTTGGCATTGAGCAATCGTGAGTACATACATGTAACTTACTTCATATTATATTATGCATTGTAGATATCATAGTATGGGCTCTCTAATTGGTCAAATGAACATATTGTTCAGTTCACTGGTATATGTACATGTACAGATGTGAAAATGCTATAATATAAAAGCAATAAACAACACATTTTCATTTTCATGGTAAAATAAACTACTTGGGATATTGGGAAAACAYTCGGTTTCGGCTCAAGATTTTTTACGCCTATTTTGTGTTCTCCCAACATCCCACATGGTTTATTTCACCAGGAACACACGAAAATGGGCTATTTATTGCTTAATGAAAGACCTACAGTACATGTTGGATTATTTTCAAGTTACATGTATTAATAGCTGGTAAATATTTCATTAAGAAAGAGTAATAWTATAATAGAGCCACTTGTATAAATTGTTGTTTTTGATAATTATTTTGTTSAAAAGGCGACGAGATGACATGGAGTCCCTTGGTTATGTTTTGATGTACTTCAACAGAAATAATCTACCTTGGCAAGGACTAAAGGTAAGAGTGCCTTAGTGTTTGCATTGCATTGCATTTAGGCATTTCATTCATAAGGGAGCCAACCCTGGATCTTAATTTGTTCAGTGTGATACAGTACCTTAAAATCTGGCAGAAACTCTGAGATTTTGATATTTTTTACAGAGATAAACAAAATAATAGAAGTTACATGTATAGAACAAATTAAGGTACAGAACCTAAACAATAACTAAAAAGCTAATGGGGCGTTAGGACAAGTCACTGTTTTATAAATTATTAAAAAACTCAACATAATTAATGAGCTACTAGGCCAATAGAATGAGCNAAATGAGTACTTTAACTCAATGTGAGAATTCAATGAAATGTACTCTGTGCTCTTGTTAGATAGTTTTGTTTGTTTTAAAACTGACAGTTTGTCAAATAGTGCAGTGGCACGCTGGCTTATTCGTGAACGCGTTGGTTCGTTTTGGTACTCAAGTTTATTGAACACGCTGGTTCGAGGATTGACTAAAAACACTTTTAGGAAGTGTGCACAGGTCAATACAACCAAATGACGGAACAGAGACCTAATTTACTCACCGTTTATGGTCTTTTCAGTACTTTAACTTCAACAGTTTCTTCCTTTAGCTATGACGTACTTCGTCGACTCGCAAGCGACTTGTGATGCCAAGACCACGAGACTATTGTGGCTTCCGATTGGTTTAGATCGGAGTTCTATTGTGTGCTCCAATTGGTTGACTCGTAATTCCATTGTTACATTACATTACATTACATCGAATCGAGCTTCGTTCTCCATAACCTTTTCGTGCATCGGCTCTACGATGCTGCCGCCTCGCCAGCCTCGCGTCTTCGCTCGGCTGGCTCGTTGGCAATAAGGGTGACCTTTATCAGATATAAAGGTCCATGACACTAGCAAGGGTCTCAGGTTTGAAACCTGATCATTGACCAATGCAGGATGTCAACCGATTTCAGTGAACAGCCAAGAGCGGTTCTATTTTGCTTTATGCGTATTCAATGTGGGAGTGCTTTGCAAAGTGATTCGCGCATGATCAGTTTGCCCCATTTATCTCTGAACATATTTGTACGGCAATTTCTCCAAGAATTTTAACAGATTTGAGTTTCAAATTTAGTGTTGGAGTTTATTTAAGCCGTTTAAAACACTCGAGATCGTGTTTTATAAACTATACAAAGATATGCATGAAATATGCATAAAGCTAGATAGATGCAGGTGCAGTAGATGTAGGTGACCCCTTCAAAATTTCTTCCTTTTGTGTGAGAAGCAACAAATGGAGAAGAAGCAGAGAAGAGGATGGGGAAGGATACTGAACAGCAAATCTCCTATTTCTCTCTTTATGTTGCTAGTGAAAAGCACCCTTTAACATATCTTCACTTGATGGATACAGCAATATTGTTTAAGTCCATGCTTCAAGGGCATTCTAAGGGCTCAAAACTTGAATCTGTATCATTGCATAACCCATTACTGATAATAATGATATCAACAAATGATATTGGCTCTCAATAAAGTGTGCATAATATAAACATTTAAGTTTTTTCTTGTTTTTGTATATGTTTTAGGCTCAAACAAAAAAACAAAAGTATGAAAAGATTAGTGAAAAGAAAATGTCGACACCTGTTGAAGTACTTTGTAAGGTACGTTTATGCTACACACTTTTATATTATTATTTATTGTGTTTGTTTTTTGCGAATAAATACTTCATATCTAACTTAAGCCGGGGATAAAGTCATTCAGAATTTGTTTCAACATYCGTTTAACTTTGTTGACCGCTGTACTACATTTTTAAGAACAAAAGAAATGTTGAATGGATGTTGAAAGTTTAAATGCTTTTAAAATGATTCAACATTATTGACATTGCTTTCCAGYAAAGTTGAATGAATGTTGAAGCAAATGTTGGAAGCGTTTGCCAGGCCTTTGTCAATGAATATTTGGCTATACGACCTATATAATAACATTCTATGAATCATAGTGCATTTGTTCAATTTTCCACTAGTCATCTCCTAAAGCTGCAACCTCAGGAAAGCAAACAGAATTTTAATAACTAAAAAGCTAATGGGGCGTTAGGACAAGTCACTGTTTTATAAATTAAAACATTAAGTAAAAAAGTTAATTACAATTGTTTTTCTTTCAGGGATTTCCCGCTGAATTTGCTATGTATTTAAATTACTGCAAGGGATTAAGATTTGATGAAGCTCCAGATTACATGTATTTGCGTCAACTTTTTCGAATCCTTTTCCGTACCCTAAATTTCCAGTATGATTACATATTTGACTGGACGTCATTAAAACAAAAGGCAACACAAAGCATACCTAGTTCTGTTGTAGCTACAGCTGCTACAGGCCATGTTAGTCAAAGAAGGGAACCTTCAAAAGTGAGACGTAAGTAGATATTTTTCCCCTTCCCTACTCAATGTATATACTAGCTATTTCAAAAAAGGTTTTTGGATAAAATGGCAAATGTCAATGGTCGAACGGCAATTGCACGACCGAAAGTAGCCATGGGTTTTGCTAGTTGAAAGGAAATAAAAACTGATTTGTACTATAAGATAGCAAGTGGTAGAAAAATTGGCTCCATTCTGCCTCCATTTCTATAACAGGTGAATCCAATAAGTGCAATTAACAGTGTAACCATAGTCCCTTTCGATCTTGCAATCTCTCTCTTCTACAATCGCCGTTTGTCGTTTTCCATGACAACGTTTTTTGAATTAGCTGTATGTGATATATTGCCACCACATGCACTCCTCTCATGAAAAAAAAATGACAGCTGGTCAAATCATTAAATTAACTGGCATTGTTTAAAGCCAGAAGATGATTTGGCTACTGTATATATTAGTTAAAAGAGGGAATTTCCCATCTATGAACTAATTAACTATGGACCAGGCAAACTTGCTGGACATCATGCTCACCTGTTTAGTTCATCTGCCTTTGTTATTGGCTTCTCATTTCTGAGCTGTTAATTATACATCAGCAGGCCTCTAGCTAGGGTTTATTATAGGAATGCTTATGCCTATATGCATGATTATCATGTTTGTACTGTAATACCATTGGGAAGCCACGCTGTACAACCCCTAGCTAGGGGTCTGTGATTCGGTTGTCGGTATCCACCTCCTTTGGCTGTTTTGAATATATTGTTATCAAATATGTTGTTCATCTTTAGGCCTACACTATAAATTCAAACAATACAAGTAACTATAAACGTCCTTCAGTAGGCATGCGTGTGAGTGTGCAGCAACGCTATTTTGTACAACAAAGCATAATGGGAGCTGTAGACCTCACACTTTTTTATGTCCGCCAAAACAATCATTTGGCTTCTCTCGGTGAAAATAGAGGTTGTTATGCTGTTTCTACAAAGGGAACATAAAAATGGCTTTTAGGGGCTATAGAAAATAAAAGACTACAACAACCATCATGATTTCTGATACAAAATGGCGTTGCTGCACATTGCCCATTCAAGAAGACAGAGCCAGAATCAGAAAGATAGCAGTCAGAAAGGCGCTCAATCTAAAATGATAATTAATCAGAGGAATAAATTGAATCTACAGTTAATGCAATAAATATTTACAAGCAATAATCCAATTTCGAGTTCTGTGTTAGCTGTGTGCCTTAAAAAACACAGAGCATTGAGGAATTCGAAACCGGATTATACTAAGTATTTTCATCTCAAAACTATGCGCATGCACTGACTATCGTTTCAAAATAGGTAGTTTTAGCGATAAACTTACCAAATGGTTATTTAGGGAGGATGCTACAGAGTGTTTACTGCAACATTCTTTCATTAACGTTCTCCATTTTAACTTTTTGTGGTATATTATAACAGTGATGCGGTCAGATAGGGATTTTGTTATTCAGTCAAAGATGAGCAACAATTTGAAAGTTTGACAATAAAATTGTCGGAACAACGAATCAATGGAATGGTATAGCACAAACAAATGACATAAATGTGCAATATTGATACCATTTAATGCTTTGAAATTATGCTAAATCTCTAAAATATTTTCTTTTGCTTAGTTACAACTACCTCGTAGAAAAAAAATCCATTAGTGTTGCACACATATAGTGTTTGTACTACTCTACCATTGTACAAAGAACTATACTAAGAATGATTAATGATATATTCATTGTTAACATTCATTATTAGGTGGTCGATAACTAGCATTCACCACTGTACACGAATAAAGAAGCTGTACGTTACTGGGTCGTTTAAACAACACTACAAGAAGTACAAAGCAGTCACGACCACTAAGGGTGACACCTTCTCTCATCAACATGTGATGGAGCAGCCTTAACTATTGATAATAATAATGACACAATAATATATACATGTAATAATATAACTGTACATATCATATTCTTTTTTTTTCGCTTTAAATGTATGATTTTGGATACCCAATACTATTGGGAAGTACATGGGAAATCCAGTTGGGATGTCATTTGATTTTATAAAACATTGCTGTAGCCTGTGGTTGGACRGGTTATTTGATAACTAGTTTTTATTTTTGCATAAACCTAATATAAAGTTGACATTTTGATTAGCTGAGATACATAAATAGATCTTTTTTGGATAGAGAAAACTGATCACGAAACAAATAGTTTGAATTCGATGCTGGAGTAGATAGAGTGTAGTAACCTCACCAACCTCGACTTAAAACTATTGTCATGTGATTGGTTATACGAATTATGAAACGTGTACATTATAATATTTAAGTCAAAATTTTATATAACTTTTAAGATATAACATGGCCTAATGGCGCTAACAAGTGGTATAGCTTTACCTTAGCTAAACCTTTTACCAACTGGGTTTCAGTGTATAAAATCTCTTTCTAATTTTCAGAGATAACAACTTCCGTACGTGCTTTTAATAAATGAGCAAGAATTTGGGGACAGCGATAAAATGAAAGCATTTAATCTGTGAAACAAATAATACTAGTTTCTACTAAATAGTGCGTTGATCATACAATGAAGGAAGTAAAGAAATTAGCGTAATTTAGTACTATTTTCTAATTAAGTTTCAAGGATTAAGTGTGTCCGCTCTACTGATGGTCGAAATCTAAAACATCTATCGCCCCTTGTAAGAGAATCTGGAATCCAGTCTGGAATCCGGAATCCAACAAAAATTTTGAAAACCAAAAAAAAAGCATCCGGAATCCCATAACAAAACTTTATGGATTCTGGAATCTCAATGTTCGAAATCCGAAATCCAATGTTTCGGAATCCGAAATCCAGCGCTTGGAATCTGGAATCCCGTATTTCTCTGGATTGTCTTACATGGGCCGACATCTATAATCAGAAGCAATTTCATTTTCCTTTTCATTACGGGTTTCCAATTCTCTCTATTGTAAAATGCCAATGGATACTGCGGGGAATAAGTTTGGCATCGTTAGTACAATCCTTAATTAAATTATTTGTGTGTTTTTCACTTTTTGATTTTTTTAAATCAATGTTTGTGTTCACACAGAAATGACTGCACAACCTGAAAGCAACCGACGTTTTGTTCAATATGCGTTTCCTATTCGACCGTTAGAAGGATTTCACTTTGATCCCCGGCCTTTACGAAGAAAGCACAACGAATGACCCTTTCAACCAATGAAAGTTTACAATTGATTGGTCGATCATGCATTTGCTGGAAAAAGGATGTTACCATTTCAATCAATAGCAAAGTTCTCCCAACTAATGTAGTTTGTTGAGCGCGATGATTCAGGCTTGTGCTGTTCAAATTGTGTCTGCAGTCTCTCAGTGTCGTAGCTCTCTCAGTGTCGTAGCTGGGACATTTTGCGGGGAGGTACGGAAAACGAAAAAAGCGTTGTAAAGGGATTTTTCACCAAAGGCACCGCCAGGCGCCAGGGGAATACTGATATTAGCCTGAAGGCACAGGAGTTCTGTAACATTGCCTTAATTAAGGGACCTATAAATTGTACTTGAAATAGGCTAATGCTTGTCAAATTTATCTTTCTAGTGAGCCCTGATGTCATAGGCCTCTTATCCTCCATTTTCCAAGTTCACAGTGAATATCCTATGTTTTATTGAACAGCAAAATCTCTTACGAAAAGGACAAAAAAAAAAAAAACACGAAAAAAAGTTGTAACTAACTAGACCTATCAATTTGCATTTTCAGGAGGAGCTGACGTTGTCTGTTCTGCTAAATAAATGTTTTTGTATGAATTTCTGAAGGTCCAAAAAAGGCTTATGTAAAGTTTTTATGGTCAAAAACTACTTTGATGTTACTTGTGCTTGCTATGTTTAATAAATCATCAAGATGCTTTCCAGCTTCTACATCTTCAAGTTCTGTGATAAAATTAAAAAAATCAATAGTTGAAAAAAATATCTTGGTCAATTTCAATCCCACATCAACGAGTCTTTGAATTTAGATATCCATTAGTACGTTTCGTTTCATAATGGATTTTTCATAAAAAAAGATAACCTAACAATGCTTTAGCTAGGAGATTAAAAATGATCAGTGTTTTTGATTGAAAAAGTAATATTAATATCATATTAATTGTCAGTTAAAGTTTTAATTGTCAGTTAAAGTTGTTTTTGTCATTTCTACAATTATGGTTGTTATTTACATTGCATTTAAGATAGAGAAAATAATGAAAATTTGGAATAAAACTTAAGCCCCCTCTATTAATTAGGTAATTTTACATTGGGCCCCCTATCTTGGCATCAATTTTATGTAATGCCCCCTCCCTCTCCCAATTACTAAAACCACTATGCCATCCGCTTTCACTTAGAGTGCAAGTCACGTAAGCATGAAACAATTCTTAACTATGTAGTGCTAAATAAGATTTAGTTATCAACTAACTAAGAATTGAGAACAATGCTACAAAGGAAATTAG